CACACACACACACACACACACACACACACACACACACACACACACACACACACAAGTGCGCGCGCGCACATGCACGCACAGAGGCTCCAGCGTTACGGGGAGCGCACTCGTGTTCATCACTCCGCTGCACTGGTCAGATTAGGCGATGAGAAATAGACGAAGGGTTTGTTGCCATTTTTTATTTTTTTTTTTCTTTCCCCCCCCCCCGAAAGTGTCGATAACTGAACTAAAGAAGGGCACACGATTATGTGCAATCAGTTGCGCAAAGCAGTCAATTTCCAGTCCTTATAGAAACGAGAGAGAAAAGTTTTCAGAAAGAGCAGGTAGATGCGTTGCACAGCATAATATTATCACTTATCAACCAGAAAATTTATAGAGTCAGTTCGATTTAATTTAGCTTCATTAGCGAGGTTAGTTATAACATGTGAGATAGGCTATTTAGTATTTTTTATATAAATATAAATTAGCTTAATTGATTAGTTAGTTACAACATATGAGGCAGCGAGAACTTGTGAGATAGGGGCTGTTCAGTATTATTCATGTGATTAACTTACTTACTTAGTTACAACATGTGACCCAGGCCATCTATTTGATTACCTTAATAATCTTAATTAGCTAATTTTAGTAATTTTCAAAAACATATAAGATATGCCATCTGCACAAGTGTCTTAATTCGCACCAATAGAATGGAGCGAATTTCTTCCAAAAAAAAAAAAAAAAAAAAAAAAAAAACCAAGTGTCTTAATTCGCTAGTGTGTTATAACTTATAACGTATAAGATCGATTATTTGGTTTTACCATTTAAGATAGGACGTTAGTGCAACTGTTTTTAGTATATTTATTTAATTACCTGAATTTAACTATTTGGTTATAATAACATATAAGATCGGCTATTTAGTACTCGTTTAGCGAGCTAGTTGGTTCCCACATATAATGTAGGCCATCTATTTAGTTGCCTTAATTTGCTAGTTGGTTATAACACATAAGGTCACCCCTGGTCGACTATCCTTTTTATTAGCTTAATTAGCTGGTTGGTCATGACATATAGAAGAAGATAGGCTCTCCTTTTTTTTTTGTTTGTTCTCTTTCTTCTTTTCTTCCTTTTTTTTTGGGCAATTTGGACCGTTTCTTGTTGTCATCCTTGCGCGGGGCCATGCTAATCTTCTCTTCTCTGTATCGTCCTTTTTTTTTTTTTTTTTTTTTTTTTTTTTT